ACTACTACTACTACTACTACTACTACTACTACTGCTACTACTGCTACTACTACTGCTACTACTACTACTACTACTACTACTACTACTACTACTTCTACTACTACTACTACTACTACTACTACTACTACTACTACTACTACTACTACTACTTCTACTACGCTACTCTACTACTACTACTACTACTACTACTACTACTACTACTACTACTACTATCGGGGATGGACAGACCCCCCTTTAGTAAAACGTGGTTTAGTGAAAACGACCTGAGGCCCAAACCTGGCGGGCGCAAGCCTGGAAAATAACGGCCACGGCGCCCTCTCGAGAACCGAAAACGGACAAGTCACTAATCGACGTGTCACTGTTGGGGGTTCTGTCCACCTCCGATACTACTACTACTACTACTACTACTACTACTACTACTACTACTACTACTACTACTACTACTGCAAATGCCACTACGATGGCTACGACTACTACGGTTACTACGACTACTACTATTACTACTGCTACTACTGCTGCTACTACAACCACTGCGACTACCAATACTACAACTGCTACTACGATCACCACTACTACTACTACTACGACTACAACTACCACCACTACTACTACTACCACTACTACTACTACTACTACTACTACTACTACTACTACTACTACTACTACTCTACTACGACTACGACTACTACTACTACTACTACTACTACTACTACTACTACTACGACTACGACTACTACTACTACTACTACTACTACTACTACCACTACTACTACTACTACTACTACAAATTCTACGAATACTAGTACTACTACTACCACGACTATTACTACTAGTACCCCTCTCTACTACAAATACGACTTCTAGTACTACCACTACTACTGCTACTGCGATGACGACTGCGATGACTTCTACTACAACTGCGGCTGCTGGTACCACTACTACTACTACTCCTACTACTACTACTACTACCACTACTACTACTACTGCTACTACTACTACTACTACTGCTACTACTACTACTATCACTACTACTACTACTACTACTACTACTACTACTACCACCACCACTGCTATCACTACTACTAATACTACTACGACTACTACTACTACTACTACTACTACTACTACGACTACCACTCCGACGTCGACGGCAACGATGACGTCTACGACTACGACAACAACAACAACTACTACTACTACATCTACTACTACTACTACTACTACTACTACTACGACTACGACTACTACTACTACTACTACTACTACTACTACTACTACTACTACTGCCACCACTACTACTACCACGACTACTACGACGACGACTACTACGACCACTGCTACTACTACTACTACTACTACTACTACTACTACTACTACTATTACTACTACTACTAATACTACTACTAATACTACTGCAACTACTACCACTAATACTATTACTACTACTACGAATACTGCTACCAGTACTACTACTACTACTACTTACCACGACTACTACTACGATTTCTACTACGACTGCTACTTCTACTACTCTTGTCAAAACTAGTACTACGATCAGTACTCATGGTACTACTACAAATACTACTACACCTAATATTACCACTACTACTACGACTACGACTACGACTACGAGTCCCACGACTACGACGGCTACAACTATCACTACTACCACCACCACCACAACCACCGCTAACACCACCACACTACGACTACTACTACTACTACTGCTGCGACTACTCCAACTACCACCTCTCCGAATACTACCACTACCACTACTCTCAGTACGATTACGACTACTACTACAATTACCACTGCTACTTCTAAGACTATGCCTACTACAACCACTACTACTGCTGCTACTACTACTACTACTACTACTACTACTACTACGACGGCTACTCTTATCACCAATACTACAACTACTACTGCGACTGCTACTACTACTACTACTACTACTACTACTACTACTACGGCGACAACGACTACGCCGACTACTACTACTACTACTACTACTACTACTACTACTACGACTACGACTACGACTACTACAACTGCTACTACTCCTTGCACTACTACTTCTACGACTACTGCGTCTACGACTGCTACTATTACTACTAGTACGACCAGTCGTACTTCTACTACTACGACGACGACGACTACTACTACTACTACTACTACTACAATTACTACTACGACTATCACTACTACTACGATCCCTACTCTACTCCGACTACTACTACTACTACTACTACTACTACTACGACTACTACTACTACTACTACCACTACTACTACTACTACTACTACTACTACTACTACTACTACTATTACTACTACTATTACTACTACTGCTACTACTACTACTACTACTACTACAACTACTACTTCTACGACTACAACTACGATTACTACTACTACTGTGACTACTACTACGACTAGTATAACTACTACTTCTACTACTACTACTACTACGACTACTACTACGATTACTACTACTACTA